ATTTTGCTTATGTCTTTTCTCTTACAGAATTTAGCACTTACTTACATGGTTTGTTCTTCACCAGACTACAACTCCTTAATGTACTGCTCAACCTACCATTCCCTTTTTTAAAATAAATATTCTCAGCACATAGTAAACATTCCATAAAAATCTATTAAGTAAATAAATTTTTTAAAAATGCTTTCTAGATCTTTGTTGGGTAGATGTTTTTCAAGGACCACATTTTATTTTATTTAATTTTATTTTATTGGTATTTTTGTGCTTTTGACCTACAACTTATGCAACCAAATTATATAAGTTTTCACATAATACCTACATTGTCAAAATTCAATCAGTTTATGTAGCAGCATTGCCAAAAATAGTTTCATACAGTATCAAATTATATCTCTCGAAGGACTCTGCCTCTCTGCCTTCTCTCAAGAGGTTTGTTTTGAACAGATATCCTAGTAAGTTACTTTCTACTAGAACTAGGTATGAGTACAGTAAATTATGGGAGGCATAATTAAGCATTGTGCTTTTAAAAAACAAGTTGTAGACTTATATCTTTTATTGAATGTTGTCTTTCAGTTCAAAATCCTCATCACAGAAATGGTCCTACATTTCATATTTTTGTACCTACCTTGAAAAAGTAACACATCTGCTTGTTAATATACTCTTTTACTTCTTAATGCTGAAGACTCATTGATAAAACAAATGTCAGTGATCATGAAAATTTTTTCTCCAGATATGTCATTAAACTTCCAATGCAAAATTTTACTTTGTAGTGAACAATTTTGTATGGACTTAGCAAATATGCATGTAACTGACAAAAAGCAGGTGGTGGGTAGGTTTCTGAGTTAGGTGACTGTAACCTTTACTATCCAACAGCTGCAGTTTAAAAAGTGTGTGCACTTAAGTATCCTGGGAAGTGGATATATGGACATTAGTACTTATTAATCCCAGCACTCACGAGGCACAAACAAGTAGAACTCTTGAGTTTGAGGGCACACTGGTCTACAGAGTGAGTTTTAGGACAGCCAATAGTTAATATTGTGTGATGCTTGTTTCCAGACAAACTTATCTTGTCAAGGTAATCCTAAATTTGCAGATTATGTGCGTAGACTTTTCTAGGTAAATGAAGTATGTACATCTTACTTAGAAGGAAATCAGTCATTTGTCCCACCTTTCACCCCTCATTCTGGTCCTACTTGTCCCCCCTCCCCACCCCCATATTATTTTTCCCCCTAGGATTTGTTTACCTTCATACAGTACTACTACAGGATGTTTTTCATGCTTTTTTTCTTTTGGTTATCACTGTCTCTTTTCCTTAAATTCTTCCATCTTATAGCATAATAAAATCCAATAGCCTCTTAATACTATTATGACTAAATATTAGCAGTCATTCAAGTAGAAGCATACCTCCATTCCCAGATAATCACAGTTGTCTTTTTAAAAATATTTTAAATTAATTGATTTTTTAAAAAACATGTAGGGAGGTCAGGGCAACTCGAGAGAGGCAGGTCTCTACCATGTGAGTCCCAGAGATCAAACTCAGGTTGTCAGGTTTGGCATCTTTACCCACTGAGCCATCTGACTGGCCCCACAAAAATCATTCTTAAAAAGACTTTGGGGGCTGGTTAGAATTTACATTATAGGTGGGAAGGAGGGTCCAGTAAGGTACGTGAACTTGGAAACAGTTGTCATTGTAAGAGCCTTTTACATACCTGACAGTGAGAGTAAGTACTCCACATAGCTAACCTCACGTCAAAACAAACTAGCTGCTTCAGTCCTTGTCATTAGAATATAGTAAACAAATCAGTAAACCTCTTTTATTCTGGGTCTGTTTTATTTTGGGTTTAGTAGCTAGGACCTAGAATTAGTGGCAGGATGTTAGGTATTTGTTAGGTATTAGACCATCTGGAGCTGTGTTGAAAGGTTGTGGTCCTGCTCATCTCTAGAATGCTAAGTACCGCGTGTGGTCATGATAGCAAGTTCCCTACCCTAGGAAAAAAACTTTAAAAATTTTTTAAGTTTAAAAATAATTTTAATTTTAAGAAGTTTTAGTATTTTTAATTGTGTGTTGGGGGGGTGATGGTATGTACAGGTATGTGGGAGAGCCAGACGTATACCCCTGGAGCTGGAGTTCAGGCAGTTATGAACTGCCTTATGTGGGGACTAGGAACTAAATCTATAGCCTCTTTATACATGCTGTTAACCTTTGAGCTATATCTCCATCTCTTAAATTTGTGTGGTTGTGTGTGCCCAGGTACATATGGTGACCAGCTTTCACTGCATAGGTTCTAGGGGTTGAACTTGGTCCTCAGGCTTGATAGCAGGAACCTTACCATCTCAGATGTCTTGACAGCCCACAAGGTTTTTTGATTTATAAAAGCAGTATCCTTATATGAATGGTGTTGGTAATAAGAGACAATCTAATTTCCATTGACAGAATGGGAATATTAATATGTACACATGCAGTGGCATGCAGTATGAGACATTAGCATGAGAGAATCTCACAAATGTTAAGCAAATGAAGCTGGAATCACAAAAGAATTTATTCTGCTACCTTCTGATAGAGACAGTGGCTCGAGGTAGAGTGACTGAGAAAGAAAACTTTATTAGCAACAAACCAACATTATTAGAAAGTAGTTGGCACCAGTCTTCAGTGACCATCTTACTCTTTGTTCTAAAGGAGTCTTTTACATGAATTCTTTTTTCAAGAGATGATCTCTTAATATCAGACAGGTGGATTCCTCAGTTGAGCATTGGTTTGAAAAAATGGATGCTTCTAGAATGTGGGCCATGTACTTCTAATTTTTACATAGATCTGCACAAATTGCAGGAAAATGTGAAAATGATCAAGGTTTCTGTGCTGACCAAAGTAACTTATATTTGATTTGTTCAGTGTTTCTGGAAAACAACCTTTTAGGTATGACTTTGTCCCGTAGTTTGGGATTCAAAGTTCTTGGAGGGGTTGTGATGTATAGTTAAAGTTAATCTGAGGATAAGAACAAACAGGAGAGAAAAAAAATTGGAGATTGTTGTCTCAGTGGTGGTTGCTGTCTTGGGTGTTCTTAGAGCCAGTCAGAATTAATTTGTGTTATGTGATATATTTATAGGTAAAGATCTGGTAGAATTAATGATGGCTATTCTATGTCATATACTGGGAAGAAAATTTGGGAACTTAATTACGAATCTATCAAAGTGGAAAATACTCAGTTTCACATTTTACATGAACAGAATTTAATTAAGACTTTGTGTATGTGTATGTGTGTCTGTCTGTCTGTGTCTGTGTGTTGGTTGTTTTGTATGTGTTTATGTAGGATGTGTGTGTGGAGGCCAGAGGTCAACATCACTCTACCTTATTGCACCTGGAGGTTACAGATTTCCAGCAGCAGATTCTCAGGTTTCTTTGTGTCTGCCTTCCTAAGGCTGGGATTATAGGTCTGTCCCCCAAATCCTTTTTTTTATGTGAGTGCTGGTGACTGAACTTGGGTTTTCATGTTTGTACAGCAAGTATCTTACCAACTGAGCCACTTCCTTAAGTCACCATGTAACCAGTTGCATTTCTGGTTTATGTAGTTTATAGATCACTTCACTTAAAATATTACTTTTCAATAATTTTAAGCAAGTTTAGGTTTTTTTTTCTTTTTTTAATAAAGTTGAGCTAATAGATTCAGTGTCTCACAGTGTTGTTTTGGAGATGAGTAATGAATAGTCAGTTCCTTACTCCCATATGATATTTGGTAAATACATTTATGTGTGTTATAATTAAGATTGTATCAGCAGTAAATAAGGGTAACACTGTTTTTGAAGACTTGCTTTCCCTGTATAGTTGAGGCTTGCCTCTCTTGTCTCAGGCTCTGGAATGCTAGGATACAGGCATAGGAGTGTGTCACATTCAGATACTTACTTTGTTAAGATTTTAAGTACCTATTTCCCACTTTGTTAGAGTCAGAGCCTGTGTGTGCAGTTGCCCTTGGAGGCCAAAAGAAGGGGGATGGATAGATATATCCTGGAGCTGGAGTTAGAGGTGCTTGTGAGCTATCTGATGTGGGTGCTGGGCTCACTAAGAGCCAGAAAGAGGATCACAAGGGTCTGTATTTCTGCCAGTACATTTACATATTTTAGGCAGTGATTTAGAGGTATTTAAATGATCCTGGCTTAAAGAAATTTGTTGTTGAGGAAGGGAAATAAACTGGTAAATAACAAGTCTAAAGTAGTATGGTGTCTTAAAACCATGTGAAAAGTGGAATCACAGAGAAGATGATTTAATTTGATTATCAAAAGTTAGATAAGGAATGTATAGACTTCCCAGGTGCATACAAAGGGATGTGAGAGTATATTTATTAAAAGATGTGAATATTAAGAAGGGTGGCATGAGAGTCAAGGACAAATGTATGTGAGGAAAAAGTTCAGATGTGGAAAGACAGATCTACGTGAACATCTTTCCTTGTTAAATGAGCAGTAAGAAATCTTGATTGGATGCTACTAAATCTGCCTTTAAGGAGAAAGGGGTTAGAGTTTCACAGTTTAGTAGTGTTGCAAAAAGTTGACTATTTGATCCTTTTAATTTTAAATTTGATGTTGTACATCCATGCGCAGAGGGCAGTTTTCTGGAGTCAGTTCTTTCCTCCCTCCTTGTTGAGGCAAGTATTCATCTTGTCTCCCAGATGAATTGGATACTCCAGGCTAGCTGATAGAACTTCTCAGTGAATTAGTAATTCTTATCTCTGTCTCCCATCTCTCTGCCTCTCGTCTCCATTGTAGGAGTTCTGAGAGTATGATCCCTCTATAAATAGGTGTGCATTCTGGAAAGATCTGCTCACAGATTAGCACTTTTATCTGTGAGCTGGGCTGGGGCAGTTCTTGAATGGCTGCTTTCTCATTAATGAGACCTAGTATGTGTCTCAAACTAAATGAACCTTTTCAGAATAAATTGTTGCTGTATATAGGGGGGAAGGAGTGAGGGTACTTGCAGGTCTTCTCAAATAAAATTAATACAAATTTGCGTTTCACAGGAAACCTTAAGAATGGAGTCTAAACCTTCCAGGATTCCAAGAAGAATTTCTGTTCAACCCTCTGGCTCTTTAAGTGCTAGGATGGTGTCTGGAAACAGAGGAACCAGTTTAAATGATTCCTATCATTCTAGAGACTCTTCCTTTAGACTGGATTCTGAATATCAGGTAGTATTTTAAATTGAATATATGTATGGTAAAATTCAAAAAACTGTGGGTACATTTATTAGATTTTTTTTTAAATAGCTGCACTTGAGGCATCCTACAGTCTTAGATTGTTAAAATAGAAACAAAATAAATAGCTAACAATTTTCAGAATTTGGAGACTTCACAATTGTGGATGAGAGATTATAGTCTTGTATAAAATACTTTCTAAACTTCAAAAACTGCATTTGGAAACAAATATTAAACTATTTTTACTTTAATACTGAAATGGTAGGTATCCTCTTCTAATCAGAGTACATACTAATTTGACTTCGTGTATGCACAAAGCAGTGCATAAAATAAGAATGCAGCTGGAAATACCCTGCTTTTAATGTTAGGGTGATTAAACAATATGTCTCAAGATTTCTCTCAGTAATAATGTCTACCTAGGTTCCGAGAGACTTTGGGTTAATCCCCAGCACAGCCGTTTCAGCTGCCTTTTAGAAGGCTACGTCACCCACAGCCTTTAATTTGATTGTTTGAATATTACTGTTTTCTATGAGCTATCTAAGAAATAACCACAATTATTTTAATTGTTTTGTAGTCTGCGGCAGCATCCGCATCTGCATCACCATACCAGTCTACTTGGTACAGTGAATCTGAGATAACTCAGGGGGCACGAGCACGATCACAAAACCAGCCCCGGGATCATGATTCAAAAAGGCCTAAACTTTCTTGTACAAACTGTGCATCTACCTCAGCGGGGAGAAATATTGGAAGTGGTTTAAATACAGTAACAGGTAAGAATTTATGCACTTTCTGTTAAAATCACTTTATGAATGTTTTGGACCAAAGCCTTTTCCCCGCTCTGAGATTCTTAAGTTTTTGAATTAGTTTCTGTACAATAATGGATTTGGAAATTCAGTAGTCTCCAAAATTTTACCTTAAATTGGTGAGTAAAAATGAAATGAACCCTTCATTTTGCCTTTTTGTTTACATACAGAATGTTAGTAGATTTTAATTAGGTAAAATAACTGTTTTGTTTCGGGTGTGGTTTTCTTGGCTACAAGGTCTCACTATGTAGCCTTGCCTGGTCCAGAACTTAGTGTGTGAATTAAGGGCATGTGTCACTGTTCTCAGCCTTAACATTAGTGTATCGTAATCAGATTGGTGAAAATCGTGACTGTTCTGTTGGGTATTTTAAAAGAGAAAGTTTTTAAAGTGTTCCTGTGAAAGCCACATCTGATAAACATTAAGCTTTCCTTGAATTTCCTTATCATGTGTTTCTGAACTGATAAATGTAGTATATAATGCTTTTCTTAAAATGTGGAAACTCTTAATTAAAAAGAAGTTGGAAGCTAAGAGCTCTAGATAGGAATGAGAAAGTCATGGTTTTTTGCATACTAAGTGCCCAGGAATGGCAAAACTGCTTTCCTTACATTGTATACTTAGGTTTATGTGTGTGTGTTGTTCAAAAGAGATCTTTTGTTAGATGAGCAGGAGTCTTCCTTACTGAAACTCCTCCAGTAAAATGTTAGACAATTTCTAAAGTTGTAAAAAGAGACAGAACTTGTGATAATGAGTTTTCTTTCTTCCTTCCTGCCTTTTTTTGGTTTCTCAAGATAGTTTCTCTGTGTAGTCCTGACTCTCCTAGATAGAACTCACTCTGTAGACCAGTTTGTACATTACCAACTGAAGTAGTATGAATAATTCCTCTCCATTTTAATAGACAGGACCTTTGAGGGTGAGACATTGTACCTCTGAGGATTGCTAAAAGTAGTGAGATGGGTCAGAGCAGGCTGACCGAAACTTTGTAGGCACATTTTTGCAGACGTTTTTATTAGATACGATTTACGCTATGTGAAAGTGTAACACTAAACTCACTGAGTGAGAATTGCTAAAGCTGGGAAAGGAAGAAAAGCTGAGCGAGGTGGAGTAGGACTTTAATCTCAGCACCTAGGCAGCACTGGGGTGGATCTCTGAGTTTGAGACTAGCCTGGTATACAAAGCAAGTTGGTATACCAGAACACCAGGGGTATGTTATACATAGTCTTGAAAAACTGCTCGGGGAAAGAAAGATTCTAAAGCTAGAAAAGGAAGAAACAAAAATTCAAGGTAAATAGAGTGGACAGTATATTTGAGAATTAATTTTAGTTTACTTCTAAGTAACATATCTAATAAAATTTAGAGTATCATTGCAAAAATAGATTAATTCTTAGAATAAAGAATGAGCAAAATGTGGCAGTGAAAAATATTTCTGAAGGTGATATAACATATGCTTAGAATTTGCAAGCACTAAAATCCAGTTTTCAGCATAGAGAAAAACCTTTTTTGTGATAACATTTGTTTGTCCTGTAATTTAATTATCATATCAAAATAGCTTTGGCTTTGTTTTAATTTTTATTTGAGGCACGGTCTTATGCAGCCCTGGCTGGCTTAGACTTCACTGTATATATCAAGCTGGCCTTGAGCTCAAAGAAATCTGTCTGTCTGATTGTGCTTTTCACTCCTAGTACTGGGATTAAGGCCACCATGCCTGACTATGGTTTTGGCGGTTTATGGCATCTCTTCAACTTTATATGAAGTGTTCTGTACCTTGACAAGTTTGCATTTTTAATCTATAATTATTTTAACAAAATATTACATTATACATGGGCAGGTGGAATAGAGTGACTGAGAGACATTTAGCTTATGTATAAGGATAGGTTTACAGTGTTAGTGATTTCATGTTTAACATACATAGATTTGCCATATCTGAGATCCTGGGTTAGGTTTTCAAAACCAAAAGGAAGAATGTTTGAGCAGGAAGATAATTAGGAGGTGAATAGTTTATTAGTAAATGATTTTGTTTTGCTAAACTTGGCTTGTGATTGTAACTGTATAAGTGAGAATAGCTATAATGATAATTCCTACATTCATTGTATTGTTAAAGATGTATGAGCCTCAAAAACCTTGAAAATCTCTCATATAAAGCTTCTTCCATTACTTTAAGATCCTTCTTGGAGGCATAGTCAAGTTCCCAGGTCTTCATCCATGGTACTTGGATCATTTGGAACAGACTTGATGAGAGAAAGGAGGGATTTGGAGAGGAGAAGAGATTCCTCCATTAGCAATCTTATGGATTATAATCACCGAAGTGGTGATTTCACAACTTCATCATGTATGTAGAAACCATATTGTTACCTATAGTTTATGTGTTGTTACAAATGTTCCCTGTATCATTAATAAGACTCCAATGGATGAAGTGAAGCAAATTTTAATTTGATATGGAGATATTAGAACTGTCTAATGCTTTTTAGTGTCTTTGTTTGAAAAATATAAACAGTCTAAACCATGTTCTTGACTGTTCGGATTCTGTCTGCTTTAAAAAAAATGTATACGTGTTAATAAAGTATTCCTAGCTAATTCTTCTATACGACAGCGTGACTTGTCTATAACAGTGTGCACTTCTAGCTGAATTATGAAATAGCTATATGTTGATTGCACTGTTTTTAACTATTTTATATATATGAGTGTATTAACCTACATGTATGACTATCCACTACTTGTGTGCCCAGTGCCCAGGGAGGACAGTAGTGTGACATATCATCTAGATTTGAGTTACAGATGGCTGTGAGCCACTCTGTGAGTGCAGGGAATAGAACCCATGTCCTCCGAAAAAGCTAGTGCTCTTAACTACTAAGCCATCATTATAGCCCCTGAACTCATCATTTTAAGGATTATATAGAACTGTATGTTTGTCTTGGTTTTAATTAAATTTTGAGATGTATGGTTTTTCTCTCTGTACGTAAAATAAGTTTTTCAAAAGTGGTCACATTTAAGTAACTAACAGAGAAGAGTGCTGCTCAGAGTTAACAGTTTCATGTAGGAATGGGGTTTGTGCTGCTTTTAATCACAGTCCAGAGCAGGTATAGACTCAGCCTATTGATAGTTTATTCTTCTGTTGGTCTCCATAGATTAGTAGTACTAAACGTACCTCTTACACAGGGTATATAGAAGGTGTTTTTCATAAAAGAGTAATAGTGTTTCTTATCTCCAGTCAGGTTGAAACAACCAGTTAAGGAGGTCTGTTTTTATCTTGTTGACCTTGAGGCAAGGCTACCCGGTAACCCAGAGGAGCCTGTGTTCTTCCTCCCTCTGCCACCCAAGTGCTGACAGTGTTCCTCCTCCTTGCCCTGCTTTTGAAAATGCAGATTAACAGAGGCCTGTATTGAGCACAGTTCCAAGCCAGTGTTAAAGGGCTAGACATTCTTACCTGTTAGCAAGGTGTATCATGAAATAATATGGGCAGTAACATTTATGTAAAGTAATCTTCATATTTATTGCATAGAATAAGAAGAATCTCAGAACTGTTTTCCTGGAATTTATTTATTTATTTATTATCATTACACTGTATTACTTGGCCTAAAGTTGTATGTCAGTATCCATTTCCCATTAGTGCATTTAACTTGCCTCATCAGCTTTGTTATGTAAACTTTCATACCTTGGTTTTGAATTTGTACTACTCTACTTTGAGTTTGTACTCTACTTGGGAGTACTTCAGAAGTAAATTTTTTCCTATAATAGTTAAACTGTTAGTTACAAAATAGTGTTCATTTTAGGCCCTAGTCTTTGAATTTGGCAGGAGTCAATAAATGTGCGTTCAATAATGCTTAAATTATTTCATAATTGGCTACCTTCCCTTCTTTCAAAAATAGATGTTCAAGAAAGAGTTCCTTCTTCATATTCACAGGGAGCAAGACCAAAAGAGAATGCAGTGAGCACTTTACAGTTGAATTCATCATCCACCAATCACCAATTGCCTTCTGACCATCAGACAGTACCAAGTTCTAGGGACTCTAGTAGAAGTTCTTTCAGATCCCATTTTTCTCCAAGACAATCAGAATCTTTTCGCAACAGTTCACATCCTGCATTTTCATATCTTTCAAGTAGAAATGAAACACCAACTATAAGCAATTCGGAAAGGGTTGGTTCATCTCGGGGATCATTTCAGGGGTCTTCTGACAATGAAGGCCGGCGTACGACTAGGAGATTGCTGTCGCGGATAGCTTCTAGCGTGTCATCCACTTTTTTTTCACGAAGATCTAGTCAAGATCCCTTGACTACAAGATCCTTGAATTCTGAAAATTACATTTCTCCAAGAACCCTGACTTCACAGTCTCGGAGTAATGGAGCACCATCTTCTGAAGTTAATGATGGCAGGGCATCTGAAGCATCTCAGGGATTTAGATTTCTTAGGCGAAGATGGGGTTTGTCGTCTCTCAGCCAAAATCATAGCTCTGAACCAGATGCAGAAAATTTTAACCAAGAATCAGAAAGTAGAAATACAGGACCATGGTTGTCTTCCTCACTTAGAAATAGATGCACACCTTTGTTCTCTAGAAGGAGACGAGAGGGACGAGATGAGTCTTCAAGAATATCTACGTCAGATGTACCACCTAGATCTCATATTTTCAGAAGAGAATCTAATGAAGTAGTTCACCTCGAAGGACAGGGTGACTCCCTTGGGGCTGCTGCCAACAGAGCACAAGCATCTGGAGCATCAAGCAGTGCCTCTGCAGGTGGCTCCACACCAGATTTGCCTCAGGGTGGAAGAAATCCAGGGATAACAGGGATTCTTCCGGGCTCCTTATTCCGGTTTGCAGTCCCGCCAACACTTGGCAGTAATCTGACTGACAACGTCATGATTACTGTAGATATTATTCCTTCAGGTTGGAACTCAGCTGATGGGAAAAATGATAAAGCTAAAAGTGCTCCTTCAAGAGACCCAGAAAAACTGCAGAAAATCAAAGAAAGGTAAATTGAATATTCAACATACATTGTAAGCTAGATCAGATTAAAGATTCAAAGTAGCTTCTGTTATCTAGAGTTTCTTACAGACAAATGGTAATGTAACCATAAGGTGAAATCTGGGGCATGAATTTTATCAAGAAATGATGTAACATGTCTTAATTTATCTTGATACGTACAAATGCAAATTAATTTCTTTTTCCATGGATAGAGTACTGCTAAATGAAATTTAATTAGGAAAAAGAACCAAATGGTAGCAAATTACCAATTTGTATTAGCCTTTAATAAATTAATTAGTTTACCATTTATTTTTTTGTTTCTCAATTTTCCTTTTTAAAGATACATTTTATTATAGGCTGTTTTTCTGATTTTAAGCTTTCCACATTTTTATTTTAGACATTTACTCTCCCCTAGTAATATTACCTTTAACACTTGTTCATTGTAGCAATTCCCTGATTGTAAGCTATCTGAAAAATGTAGCTTAGATTTCTTACCTTCAAAGATGTCTTTATTGATCTTGACTGGTTTACAGTGATGAACCACTCTGTCTAATTAGATAGGTTTTGGTTTTGTTTGGTTGGTTGTTTTTGCTTTCTTTTGTTTTTGAGATAGGGTCTCATGTAGCTCTGTTGGCCTGAGCCAGTAGAGATCTACCTGCTTCTGTTTCACACATGTATTAAAGACCACGGTACCATGTCCTAGATAAAGAGCAGTTATCTTGACAGAGTTTATAGTGTGTTTTTTAAATTTTGCCTCATATATGAGGATTTTAAAACTTGACTGAGTAATAAACAAATAGAAAAATTGGATCGCCTTAGTAAAATATACTTGAAACATGAAGGGAAAAATGTTAAATACAAAACAAAATGTTTAGCTTTTCAGAATAGTTTGTGCTTAATCTCATGTTTCTGATTAAACTAAGGTAGGAAGTCACCTTTCAGTCTATGTGTCCCTTTCTGTAAATGTCTTGCTAACTTGACTCACAGTGTCCAGGCTGTATTTCAGTAACAGTTCATCATTTAACACTGTCAGTTTACTGTGTGCCTCTTTCATGTGCCATCAGTACACTGACAAAATACGAATTTTAACAGAAAACTTTGCTTGTTAAAAGTGAATTCAAATATAAATGGTACATGTTAGCCTGTTAAATAGAGGATAATAGAAAAAGTGTGTTTTAAAATCCTTCCTTCATAGATATCAGAAAGATTTAGTAAGAGTGTTGTGAAGTAACCTTAAAATTCTTTCGCAGTTGACAAAATCCTTTTACTATTGGATTTTCAGTAACCTAAAACAAACACCTTAATAATCAAACTCTTAGTGATTTTGAAAAAGATGTGAACTTAAGATGCATTTCTAAAAACAAAAGGGGAAGCACGTGATAATGAGTAGCAGTGCCGCTGGGCTTACTCATGCCAACGTTGTATTCACAGTGGCAAGAATTTGGAAGTTACTCTCACTGTTGCTTGCCGTACTCAGTATAAGTAGAATGAAAGATTGAAATTCTGTATGATGAAATGGCTATCTAGGAGGAATTAAGATAGTTCTGAATTATGTGCCTTCTCTTTCAGCCTCCTTTTAGAGGACTCCGATGAAGAAGAAGAAGGGGATTTATGTAGAATTTGTCAGATGGCAGCAGCATCATCATCCAATTTATTGATAGAGCCATGCAAATGCACAGGGAGCCTGCAGTATGTCCATCAAGAGTGTATGAAAAAGTGGTTACAGGCCAAAATTAATTCTGGTAAGATTCACCCTTTTAGATAATTTGCTTTTAGATTTTTTTTTCCAAAGAGATACATATTATAGGTATTTCGGCTAAAAAAAAAAATCTTCCATAATTTATTATTAAATTTATTTATACTTGTATACTATATATAATTATAATTTAACCAGTGATTATGACATACTGTCTTACACCATATTAAATGATGAGCTAGGCACACTCACCATTTAGCAGCTATGTATTTGGAGAAAGATTTATTGTCTCTTATTTATCAGGTTGTCAGAAAATTCTTTTGTTGTACCTGTTGTCATATTGGTTGTAAAGGGAGCACCTTTCTTAGGGTAAACCTTTTAATTTTAGACCTTGATAATAAGGAACTGGCTTTCAGAGAGAAAAGAGCATTTTAGCAGAGAGAGCAGCTACTAAGAAAGACTTAGGTGTATTTAAGGAACTGAGTGGTTATGGTATAGCTGGCATCGAATTAATAGTTGGATATCCATTTGGTTGATACAGTTGTAGTATAAGAGTACAGTATAAGAGAAAGTTGTACAGATAGAGTAGTAGCAGATGCTAGCTCATGCAAGACTTTTAAAAATAGAGGTTAGAGCTTAAATTTTTATCTAGGTATAATAGGAAGCCACTGAAGGCAAAATTGAAATAATATTTTTGTTTGTTTTATGATTTTTCAAGATAGAGTTACTCTATCCCTGGCTGTCCTGGAACTCTTTGTAGACCAGGCTGACTTCAAACTCACAGAGATCAGACTGTTTCTGCCTCTCAGGTGTGCTAAAGGTGTGCACTACCACCACCTGGCTGAAATGGTCTCATTTTGATTGTCTGCTCTGGAGAATAGATTTTAGGGTAAAACCAGACCTGTAGCTTGGAAACCAAGCATAATGTATTCTCAAAATACTTGCTGGAGTTGGCGATTGATAATTACCACATGGTATTGCTGATAGTTTTCCTAGAAATAGGATGTATAGGTATGTTTTAGAGGTAAATTTTTTGAAATTTGTCAGGAAATTACATGTGATAGGAAGAGGGAGAAACCTTTCGAGAATAGAACTGTTACTGAATAGTTACTGAATAATAGAACTGAAATAAGAATGCTGGAAATAAAATTAGCTTGAGACGGGGTAACTCAGTTATATTTTGGATATGTACTATATTTGAACTTCATTTTAGGTAAATACACAGAAACATCAGATAGGCTGTTAGCTAGACAAGCCTCCTCATTTCAGAAGGAGCACTCAGAATCAGTTTCCAGTATCACAACAGTGCCATAAGTAATGCTGGAAGCTTTGAGGTTAAATAAAGATAAAGAGAAGACAAAGAAGTGGGCTAAGACAAATCCCTGGGGCACCCAAGATGATTTGATTTGAGGAACAGCCTCCAGTCAGACTGGTGGGAAGGTGAGAAAACGTTATTTTGAATAAGCCAAAATAATTGTATAAAAGTGGGTATGATTAACTCACCATCCATAAGGATTGAGGAATCTTAAGTTGATACCCACATAATGAGCTAAGGATGTGGTTTAGCAGGATAAAGTGCTTGCTGTGCAAACTTGAGGGACCTGTGTTCAGATCCCTAGCACCCATGTAAAAGCCTAGCATGGGCCCCAGTCATAGCACTGGAATTCCAGCTAGTCTAGCTAGATTGAAGAGTTTCTGATTCAGTAACAGACACAGCACAGCCTCAAAAATAAAAGTAGGGCCTGGAGAGATGGCTTAGAGGTTAAGAGCGTTGGCTGTTCTTCCAGAGGTCCTGAGTTCAATTCCTAGGAACTACATGGTGTGGCTCACAACCACCTATATAATCAGATCTGGTGCCCTCTTCTGGCCTGCTGTATATATAATAAATGAATCATTAAAAAAAATTAAGGTAGGTAGTGATAGAGGAAGACACCCAGTGTTAGCCTCTGGCTTCCCTGTGCATACACGTGAATATACATGTAATACATACACACAGATTTTTTTAAGTGAAAAGATAAGATTGATAATATGTATGTTAAAGGGAGATTACCTCATAGCCCGCCCCCCCCCCACACACATACAAGCTGAGATACAAGATAGCAAATTAGAATATTATATGAGATCAGGGAAAAACATATTTATTTTGAGATAGGGAAACATTTGAGCATGTTTTTGAGAAGCTGTTGGGTTGTAGAGGGGGGAAATCCACAAAAAGGATCAAAAGAAGGCATCTGGGGCACTAGGTGGATAGGAGGAGAGCTGTTTCATGTCCAGGAAGCTAGTGTAGGTACGTGTGTTTGCTGTTTGTGCTTTGGTAAAAAATTAACGACCCGCTGTATAAATGTTTCCATTTTCTTAGAGGAGATCTTTAATTGAGGAATAGGTTAGCAGGTCTTTAGATGGGAAAAATAACATTTTGGGATGAATAATTAAGGTTGTTAGGTAACATTAGTGTCCATATAATTTTAGAGATGGGGGAAATGGCTTAGTGGCAGAGTACCTGCCTCTAATTTGTAAGATCCTGAATATTAATACTCAGCCCTGCCAAAATTATTGAAATGAAGCATGTGGATTTTTAAAGAGAATGGTTTACTGGTTCTCTGACACAGATGTAGATTGGAATACATTGTGCTCCTTTGCTAATGGATAGAATTAAAGATAAGTACAAGATAATTTTGATTGTGGGAATTGTATCAGGGAGTAAGGATATCAGTGTAATGTCATAGTATTGGTGTTAAAATATGCTGGAGACTAGGAAGCTGTCATTTTCCATTGTGTTCTTCTGGGAGCATTATGATGACCAAATAGTCTGACAATCTGATGAAAATATCATGACTTCACATACAGCTCAGGCAAATGGACAGCATAATTTCTCAGCTTGGTTCTTTTTCTGTGAGGTGCAAAGGAAACTCCCAGTTCCCAAACTCCAGAAGGCAGAGATGAGCTCAGCCTGGACTATGAGAGTATTGCTGGCTGATAGATAGAAGCTAGCATTCCTAAGGAACTTGTGAAACGAGTTCCTGTCTGCCAGAAGGAGTCATTGTCCGTAACTCTAGCAGAAGGAACACACAGTTCTCAAGATGACATATGCCTCTGGTTGCCTAAGTACCTGTGCTGTGATCTCCACCCTTGCTCTTACTTTTCTCAACTTCCAAAGCCTCTGGTTGTAGATTTGTGCAAGTTCATTTAGAGATTGTGAGTGGGGTTGAATTTAAACCTCTTTCTTCCCTGCTACTCATGAAACTTACTTTAGGACAGATTTCAATTGGTATCTAATAATACCCAAATAGTACGAAAGTCTACATATGAGGACCTACCAACGTCTACATATAAATACTTAACATCTGCATCTGAGTACCTACTAATGTGGAGCTACTGGCCTGTGGTAAGCAAGTGTTAAGTGTGACAGAACAGAATTTTTTGGTTTTTTTTTTCCCCAAAAATTGTGATAAAATTACTGTGTGTGAGAGAGTTAACCACTTTGACCTTTGTACAGTGTAAGTTTCAGCAGGTACTTCAAAACTTTTTCATCACCCAAGATAGAAAGTTCATAGTCAGTAGACTGTTAATTCTCTGCTCCTCTCCCTCTTCTCAATGATAACCTTAGTCTGTGGGCCTTTTTACATTTGCATATTTCTGGTAGGGCCATATAAATGAAATAGTAAAATATTTGTTCTTTTATATCTTTACTAGCATATCTTGGGTTGAGTCATGTTGTAAAATATATGAGGACTTAATTCTACTACTTGTTGAAATAAGCTACTTTTATCTGGACAAAAGTGGATTCCTTTTTTCCTCTTTTAGTCAACAGAGCAGGTTCTTTGCTTAGATCACAAACGGGACCTATATATGTATGCTCTGATACCAACAATACTAGTCTGAGTGTGTCAGTAGTGTTGGAGATGCTCGGTCATTAAACATAGCTTTCATAGCATGTCCACATGCTTTAGGAAGCGGGAAGTACAGGTGACATTCCCTTTCCTCATTGTCAGCGTCCCATAATTACAGGATGGGTGAATATGTAGGATTTGACAAAGGCTATCTAAATGATGAGGAGAGGCATGAATGTCATATAGAACATTTTTGTCATTGCACATCATTAATTTAGCATATATTATTTGTTTATTGCAATATTGTAATCTCATCTTTCATGCTTTTCTGTCCCCCTATATTTTAAACCTTGAGCTTAGGACGGAAAAGCTTGATTGACTATGTGCAATTTGACTTTTGTCAGGTTCTTCATTAGAGGCTGTAACCACCTGTGAACTCTGTAAAGAGAAGTTGCAACTTAACCTGGAGGATTTTGATATTCATGAACTACATAGAGCTCATGCAAATGAACAAGTTAGTATATTTTGCCTAATTTGGTAAGTGTCTGTTGTGTGCGTAAAGGACAGCTCTTGAAGAAAAGATTAAGTCATGGTCAGAAAACCTAAATTAATATTTTTACTATAATTCATAAGATGAGAAGTTTATAATGACATTAGAAAATTCCCTTTAAATAAAAGATTAAATTAAGATAAACTGTCAGGCTTCATAAATAAATGTAAAAATTAATAAAAGTTTAGGAAATTGGGCTCAAAGTAGGCATTGCCAACCTTACCTCTCCAGTATTGGTTAAATGATCTAGTTGGAAGAAACAACCTAGTTTTTTTTCCTTGTTGAAGGAATTCTGAGAGAAGCAAGGGGAATGTGAGGATGATTTCATCCCAACAAAAATAAATCCACTCCTCAACCATTGCTTGCTTGCTTCTCTCAGTCCCTGGTATCTGCTTGCCAGTGCAGTTCAGTTGGTGGGTGGGTGGATGGGTGGTTGATTGGTTAGGTGAGCTTTCAAGACAAGGTTTCTCTGTGTAGCCCTGGTCCTAGAACTCACTCTGTAGACGAGGCTGGCCTTGAACTCAAGAGATCCACCTGCCTCTGCCTCCCAACTGCTGGGATTAAAGGCATGCACCATTATTGCCTGTCCATTTTATTTTATAGATTTGCCAGCTTGGGATAATTCATGTTGATGAAATATAAGGTACTTTTGTGACCAGCCTTTTGAAGACCTGAGTTCTATTCCTAATGTTGCTGTTGGGTGGCTCACAACTCTGATATCTGAGGATACTTACACTCATGTGTACATCTATCCAATTACAAATTTACATACATAGAAATAAGTCTTCTGAAAACATGAGTTAAACATACTGTTTGAAAATCTGATAAAATCCTTGGACTTACTGCATACAAACATAAATTACTGTATATGTAATTTAGTGTGCACTAATACCTGAAAGTAATTGCTTAGGTCCAGGGTTTTTTTTTTTTTTTTTGGTTTTTTTTTTTTTGGTTTTTCGAGACAAGGTTTCTCTGTATAGCCCTGGCTGTCCTGGAACTCACTCTGTAGACCAGGCTGGCCTCGAACTCAGAAGTCCGCCTGCCTCTGCCTCCCAAGTGCTGGGATTAAAGGCGTGCGCCACCAACGCCCGGCTTAGGTCCAGGTTTAAGAATCACTGCTCAGAAGAATGAAACTTTAGTTGATATAAGTATTATGTATTGCCATTTGTAATGTTTCATTCTCTAATGCGAAAGTTGTGCAAAAGAAACTCACTCAGTACAGTGATGTCTTAATTATTAAGGCATCAGGCCGCTGAATGTTGGTATTTTAAAGAATAGGGAAAGTAAGAAAGGTGGAATGATACAGATAAATGTTTTGTTGTCTTAGACCAGAAGAAGTCAGAAAGCTACTTTCTGTGGCCACCTCTTGCCACACGTGTTTTTCTTTAAAGTATTTATTTTTATTTAATATTTTAATGACTGCATTTTTACATAATGGAGATGTATTAGACAACTAGGTATAGTCATTGTGAAGCAACGATAGTCTTAGCTTTATATGAATCATGGATTCTAGTGGCTAGAGTTAATCCTAATTTTAAGTGACTAATATAATTTTATTCCTTTTAAAATTTTATCTTTTATAAGATAATAACCATGAAAAGTTTTTGTTGTTGAATTGTTTTGAGATAGGGTCTCATAGCATAACCCTTGGCTGACTGGGAACTTGCTATGTAAACCAGGATAGCCTTAAATTCAGATCCACCTGTTGCACCCATACTCCCCCAAGTGCTGGAATTAAAGGTCTGTGCCACTATGCCCATGTAAATTTAAAAAACAAAAAAAACTAAAATAAATCTTTCCTTGATACTTGATTTCCTTTTCAGTTAAAATAATGTCAAAATGGTTAAATATTTAAAGATTTAATTTCAAGAATTTGACGAAGTTTCTAGAATTAATATTAGCATACAATTCTAAATTTCAGTTGTTTATTATCCAAAGCAGGTACAATTGACTTCTTCACTGTAAAAATTAAAGGAACCCATTGGAGTTTTTAAATCTCTATCCTAGTTTGTGTTCATAGCTGTGTTTATATTGGTAAAGTGCTAGCCTAGTATTCCTAGGAGCCTAAGTTCATTTTCCTGGACCACCAAAAATGGCAAGAAGACAAAGATGAGGAGGAGGATACTCAACAGGTTTGAAACTATTTAGAATTTCTGAGTCTTCTATTTCCAACATGACCAAAAAAAAAAAAAAATGCTAATATCAGTGTGTGTTTGCATGTGTTGTTACCTTTTAATTAATTGGATTACAAAAAAACAGTATATCTAAATTATAGTGCACATTACAGAATTAGGTGCAATAGTAATTTTTAAAAGTAAACTGAAACAATTATTAGTCATTTGTAAAAGAAAATCTGTTAGGAGCTTTATATAGAAAACTAAAATATGTTATCACACCAAATGATTGAAAAGACAAAGTTATATAAATGATTAGAGGAAGATAGACTGATGAAAGATACAACCTGTATAAGGCAGCCTGATATTTTAATAGATGACTACCTTTCTAGGAGCTATGTCTGAATACTTTTTTTTTTTTTTTTTTTAGTTTATCAGTAAACATTGACTAGCAGTCACAATCCTAATTTTATTCTCTGTTTCTTCTCTTTCCTTCCCCATTTAAGGCTGAGTATGAGTTTATCAGCTCTGGTCTCTACCTAGTTGTTTTACTGCACTTGTGTGAACAAAGCTTTTCTGATATGATGGGAAATACAATTGAACCAAGCACACGTGTCCGAGTAAGTAGTATTGACATTGGGGAAAGATGGGAGGGTACAATATAGTTGTTTTATGTGTTCATATCGTATTCCTCCCCCCATTCCTTTAGAGGAGGCCTTACTTTCAAATATGTCTTAACAGTGTAGTCTATATTTAAGGAAAGTGCTGTCTTCTCTGAGAAATACCCTAATTTTGTCATAGGCTATTTACAGAAAGAGGTTATTTTATAGCTCTTGAAAGTGAAATATTTCAGGGAGAAACAGGGTCAGAATTAGAAATACCCAGAAAAAGTCATTATTTTTATTTTATAGAAAAAAACCCTTAGCATTACATCTTAGAAACATGACATTGTGCCAGAGGCCAAAAGAATATGGAAGACTAAATGTTTTTTTGTTATCCTGTAAAGGACTACCCTTAAATTAATAATATTACCAACTAAGAAAAGAACTAATTGCTGTAAATAGTGTTTAATATTAATTGTACCTTTAAGCTAACTTTTTGTTAAGTATTTGTAATCAGTACTCAGTGAATCCAAAGAAGCTTTTCCACTCTGTTGTTTGGACCATTTTGTGTATCGCTGTCTTATTGCAACATCCTGAACACTTCCTATCTTGAAATGTGTTCATAATATGGTAAAATGTGTGAAATTTAACCATTTTTATAATTCTTAAGTATATAAAGCTTAGAATTCATGTTAATATGAAATGTCTTCCTCTTAATATAAAAAGTATAATACAAAATACATATTGCTATTCTAAATAATGCTAGTAGAAATTAGAAGTGTTGTTGCACCTGCACTAATTTTAGGATTTAACAGGATTTGAAATAAATTCAGATAGTACATTTTCAGTTTTTTTATTACCATATAGGAAAGTAAATTCAAAATTTAAAATACAAGTTACTGTTTTCTTGTACTTCATTATTATATGGGTATTTAAGTGACCCAACTGATAATTACTTACATTAAGAATTTAAAAAAAAATTTATGTGCTGTAATTATGAATGCTCTTAAATTTTCTGTTAATTTTTAAGTACTTTAGAAGTCATACTGCTATCTGGAGTTAATATAAAATGATGTCTAAAATGGTATGTTAACTTTTTTGAATGAAGAAACTGTATAAAGCATATAAGTAAAGACTATTGAATTAAAAAAAATTCTAAAGCTATAGTAGAAGTCTTTCTTAGTATTATACAAGCATTGAGTTATACATCTGTACAACTGTCAAGTTTAGGCAGGCAAACATCAGTTCATTTGGGCCTAGAAAACAAATTCTGTTTCTTCCCCCATACCCCTTGATTACATTTTTTTTTTAAAGTGTTAGGAAGACAGTATTATTGGATACAATTATTTGTTTATATTTTCTCCCAATTTCATGATACTGGTCTGGTTTCCCCATGATTAATAATGATTATATAGAGCCTAATATATACCCTTTAATGTTTTAATTTTTGTTGTTGGGGAAGACCATTGTTTAAAGGATTAAAATGGTGTTTGACTTAAGTAGAAATAAATCTCCTATACTGATTCTTTAGATCCATTTGCAACATTTAAACTACTGTATTTCTTTCTGCATTGTTTCTAGTTTATTAACCTTGCAAGAACTCTTCAGGCACATATGGAAGATCTCGAAAGTAGGTGGAATTTTCCCTCCCCAGACTTGTTAAATGTACTTTTGCAAATTAAACCCACAGAACAAAAACTTTTAAGTGCACTCTTTTCTACCAAATTGAGCTTTGGCTTTAGGCTGATACTACTAGGATTGTTGATTTGGATAAGGGTTGAACTGTAGTACTAAGTCTTTTAAATTTTTGGTTTTTTTATTATGTTTAAGATATAGAAGGAGGTAATTTTAACCTAATATTTTGAATTAACCACTGATTTTTATTATTTATGATTAAAAGGAAAACAGACAGTTACTAAATCATATCCGTTAAGGCTTTATATTTTTAATATATGAAAAAATTTTACATTTTATTTAGTTTCAGATCATGAAAGATTTTCTTTAATCTTGTGTTTGGTATCAGGAAAATAAGGAAGAGAGGCCAGAGCCCATAAGAAAAGGGTTTTGTTTGTTCTTCTTTTACTTACAGATAGTTCTGTGTGGATCTTTAACACATTGGCAGCTGAGGTTTCTTAGGAGCACATTGTCAGCCTCAGTGAAGACACATAAGCACACGTCACAGGCATTTCTTCAACCTGTTGTCTTATAATGTATTACAGCACATCTGTGTGCTTTGTACCAGGCAAGGACAAAATTGGTTTTAGAACAATTTCTGGGAAAGATTAAACCCATCTGATCTGTACCTATTTTACTCTTCATCAGAGCAACAAGTTTCCATTCCAGTGTAGCCTTGCGTGCTTTAAATGCATATTTTCATGTTGATAAAGTGCTTACTGTCTGCAGAATACCTGTTATCTAGAAGATGTCTAAGATTACTACTTTTAGAAGGCTGGCATACTTTGAAGACAGTATGAGAAGGGTTCAATCCTCATTAAGACCTTTTACTTCCTTAGATATTTTAAGACCTGGCCTTTTAGATATCGTTACACCTATACTAATTTTAGGTTTTAACAGGATTTGAAATAAATTCAGACAGCACATTTTCAGGGTTTTTTTTTTAATATATATATATTGTCTGTGAAAGTAAAGCCAGTTGGAATTACTATTCACTATGTTTTTTGTTTTTGTTTTTAAACTTTATAACTTCCATAAAAATACTTTGTTGGAGCTGGGCATGATGCCACATACCTTTTAATTCTAGCACTTGGGAGGCCAGCCTGGTCTACAAAAGAGTTCCAGGACAGCCAGGGCTATACAGAAAAACCCTGTCTGGAAAAAACCAAACCAACCAAACAAAACCTAAAGCACCTCATTGGCTAATACAAAAGTTTATCTTTTGTTTCTAAAAATTATAATTTCTGTTTTGGTAGATGTTGTGGTGGTCATTTGTTTCATCATCTTTTCCCTAAGATTTCTCACTTAAAAATATTCCCATTTAAAATATAATTTTCTAAACATCTGTGAAAGTAAAGAAGCCTGTTGGAATTACTATTCACTGTGTTTTTTGTTTTTGCTTTTATTTTTTAACTTTATAACCTTCATAAGGTTTACATTAAGCTTATCTGCCCTTGATAATAGTGAAAAGATTAGTTAGATGTTTATTTGAAAGAACTTAGATTTTTCCCTAACATAAAGCAGATTATATAACGAATAGCTTCTTATTACCTGGGCTTGTTTCACTAATGACCATTGAATAAATTGAGGTCAGAAATGTTATAAAAATGATATTTCTGGGAGTTTGGAGACATGGGGATGATCTCAACAGCAGGTTTTTTGTTGTTGGTTTTGCTTTGTTTTTTTTTTCTTTTCTGAATCCGATTATTTTATTAGGCTGTGTCTATATAAAGCTTTACTTACTCAATAGAGCTTTTTTTGTGGCATTGTATAGACATAGCTTTGATGTAACTTGCAAGAACATCCATAACCTGTATTCTATGTACATTTTTTTTCATTCTCATCGGATGCATCAAACATGCAGCGGTAATAAGCCAGATTCTCCTCAGGTGTGTGAGAGCACTTGCCTTACATTCACTTGTCCTCTGGTGTATGTTTATATACATATCATTAGCTCTTATGAACACAGCTGGTCTCAGAAAACAGTTTTTAAAAGATGCTCTTAAACCACATTTTTAAGCATTTTCATTATATGGAAACTATATAACATCCAAAAAGAAGTGGGGGTGGGGACATTGTGAATGGGCATCACCCACAATCAGACCACCCTAACACTATCATGATAACTTACCATTTTGACCAAACAGTATACTAAATTGGGATTTTTGTTTTACAAGTCATTGCTGTTCTGGCTTCATGTTTACAAGTCATTATCATCCCCTTTAAAAAATCATTCTTGATCATCCTGTTTTTCTCTCAACAGCTTCAGAGGATGAATTCTGAAGAAGATGGAGACCATAACAGAATGCTTGATATTGTCTAACTTCATTTAAGACAAATTGATGATCTGTGAACATGTTTATTAAAACTGGCAATTACGTATGAATAATTTCATGGGGTAATGTCTAGTAGATTGACTATACATAAGATGAATATATATACATGTATAAATGTAAATATATATTCATTCTCAAGTATTGCTGAACTGAAATTCTTTAGCTGGACCTTTTAACATTGGCCAGCAAATCTCATGTTTGTAATATGTAATCAGAAGCATTTTTTCTTTGGGTGAGTGGGAAAGCATTACCCTTGTTTTAAATATCTAAGCAATGCTCATCAACTTTTTTCTGTGTTACAATTACTGTAGTCATATTTATGGAAAAATGTTTGTGTATTAGTCTCTTGCTAGTGAGAAAAGGTCAGGTAAAATGTACTTTTGAAATAAAATGCCAATGGCACCTAATTAGTTTTCTTCTTTAAATGCCTTAAGTTACAGCCACATTTTGATAATCATTTACTTCCAGTGTTTAAATTTTTTTTAAAAGAATGGGAAGTTTGAAGAGCATTATTATATTAGGTTTCCAAATTTAATTTGAATTCTAAATCCACTTAGCAATAAAACCTAATTTTTAAGAAAAAAGTATGTAAAAGATGTAGTAATGATGGATAACTTTTGTATTGATTTGCAAAAATGCAGATTATATTTGATAGGCCATGGTATGTAGGTATTCCTTTCAGGAATATTACAGCTGTAAATTATATCAGAATTGCCAGTCAAATGATACTTGGTTAAAAATTACTGAAAATCTCAAGTTAACAGAATATTTTTTTAAAGCCCACATTCAAAGTTTAAAACACTGGTTTTCAATGTGTTTTTAGTGTTGTCACTTCTTTATAGAGAAATATAATATAAATAACCTATTTGGATCCTGGTCATTTTTAGGTGTTCCTTGATAATTCTGAGCATTTATTTGATGATTGTTAATATTTTTCACTACCTTTGCAAAACAGATAAATTACTTATTCAACATTAATGAGTTTGCACTATGGTCTTGAGCAGTGTAAACAAACTTGCGTCATGATTTCCACTATCAACACCCTTAGGATATACATTTACACTTGCAGGTGGTTTCAGATTAGTCCAATATTGTGGCAGCAAACAACTTAAATCCAAATAGAAACCATGTACTTTGTCAAATGTGAATGAACAGTTTGCCTAAATTTAGTTTGTTGGTGTTAATGTAAAACCTTGGCTTGAAATAAAGTGATACTGATTGATTTATTTTAGTTTGAACTTTTTCCTTTTAAACTGGTCCTCAGTGAGAAATTCTAAACCTTTTAGGAAAGAATTTAATTAAAATTTCAACTTTCATTTAATTTTAACTTAAATAGCCACATGAATCAGTTTTTGGGAGGTAATAGGATTGATACCAGGTATTTAGAGAATAGTAGGGAGGAATGGCCAGCCAACACTCCCTGTTAGCACTCTGAATACCAGTCAGTAAGATAGGCCTCTCACAGAATGCTTACAGCTAGGATAAACTAGTGCAATATTTGTTGTTTAGTGTCTCACTCTCTTGGCAGGTTATCACCAGTCTGTGGTTGGTGCTATTAGATCCCATGACCCATCATGCCTGTAATTTCAGCAGATGGGATGCAGATTTGGAGCTTACCCTGTGCTACATAGACTGTCTCAAAAACACAGATGTATTGGAATAACTAGTGTCGCTAATTGTGATTAGGGATATTTTTGATGTGGTCAGCATCATGCTACATGAAAACATAGCAGAAGTATTTTCCAGGGATGTTTTTGAAATATAAAACTTGCAAAGGGAATGAGAGTTGAGCTTTCTTCCATTTTTATGCTTCAGTGAATTTTACTCTTGTCTTGAAAGTGTTAGTGTGCCAGAAAACCCACGAACATCATTTCTAGAGTTGTACTTGGTCTCCCTCAGTTTTGGCACACGTGGTTTTGTGCCATCAAAAGATGTAATCTCCTCATAGTCAAATGAGTCTACTTTGTCTAGGAAACCTTTGCTCAAGGGACACACAGGTTAACCTGGCTGGCCATCATCTCCATGACTTCTTAGCTAGAGCTGCAGTCTTTCCTTTAAAGAACCTATAACATATTTGATTATAACTAAATACTACGTGTCCCAAATGGTCTATACAAGGGATGAAACTATGAACAAGTATGGGGTATAAAGTGTCAAAATCTGTAAAATGTCTTCCTCTAACAGGGGAACACCAAAGAAATTATCACCGGAGCCAGTAAGACAGCTAGCCCCTTATATTCCCAAACTCTGTCCAGCTTGATGGGGGTGGTCTCAGTAAGGAGTAGATTGCTAAAGGATACAATGTAACAAAGAGGACCAGGCAGTGAGCTGCGTTTTACCAGCTTTATTGTACTTGGAGCTGTCATTTACTCAAAACGAAAACTACTTAAGAAAACTTGTAAGTTAAATCTGTGGTTGTTCCTTTTCTGAAACCTACATTTTTTTTCTTTTAATCAGGTTAATGTTTTGTCACATTGAATACATGAAAATATTGTTATAAGAAATACCATAAAAGCTTCAGTTTTTCTGTGGCAACTTTGATATGAAAATCTTCCACAGGAAATTATTATCAAGGTATTCAATATGCTGGTCTGATACTACCAAATTCTTAGTCCAGCTGAACAGCGTATTCATCTTCTTCTGCAACTACCAGAGCACAGCCATCACTATAAGGTGATTGTGGTGCAGGTGAAAACGAGGTGAAGCCAGAGCGAACGTTTCTTCTATAGAGAAACCAAATGATCGATCCCAAAACTGCCAGAGTTACTGTGCTAGCGATCACCAGAGTTGATATTAAAATGTGGTTATCTGAAAAAAAAATTCAGGAAATTGATATATGTGTTTGCTTATATGTAGAATTCCCCAACTGATGAGAAAAAGTTACAAATTCTTTATTACTGAGACTGATCCTCCTGGGTAGGCAAAATGGTTCTGTGGGTAAAAGTTCAATGCTGATAATCCAGGCCCTTGTGGTGGAGGGGAGAGAACTGACCCCTGCAAGTTGTCCTCTGACCTCCATGTGCCTGCTGTGGTATACAGATTTTTTTTTTTTTAATTCACATTTGTGTGAAAAATAGCCAAACCTGAAACTTTCAATGAAAACATTTCAGTTCTGTGTTCTGTGAAGTCTCATTTTCTGTGGTCTTGCTTATATCTTTTTTTTTTCTTCTCCTTTCCTTACTGAACCAAGATTTTAAATTCACATCTACTGTTCTCTTGAACAAGTGGTCTTAAACAAGACCATCAAGTGGGGCCTGATGGTCCATCTGTCTTTGATATTAGTGATTTGCTTCACAGAAATGGCACTAAGAGGTGCAGTACCTTGCATTGTTTCTCTTAAACTAGCACTGTTTGTGGATTCCAGAAGTTTACAGATGTGTGCAGCCTTTCAGTTCTTGCCCACTTAACACTCTTCGGATCTTTCTATAGAAATGCAATTTAACAGATTAGCAATTGGGATGGTAGATGTTCCATCTGTTATAAAGGGTTCAAATGATTCACCATGTCATCGCAGATGGATTTTATTTATGTATAAATATTTCAATTGGTGCTTCTTAAAGTGGGACCTAAAATGGCTAGGGACAAGTGGGATACATCTGGCCACATGTCTTGTAAAGGAAGGAAAAACAGTAGTATAAAAACATAAAGGACATCTTCAGTTACCAAGTGTGTGTCTCAAGACAAGACTAATGAAATGTTCAAATAGTAGTTTGCATAGTTACATTAATTTCACACTGCCTTAACATGTTTACTGTTTGACTCCCCATGTGGACACTGAGACTTGATGTGCAGTTACATAATCAGTTGGGTATATTTTGGTGACATGGTGACATGATCACAGCAGTTAGAGAAACAGTACATTTTAGGCTGAAAGGACAGCAAGGTAATTTAGGATTGTTACAGGTAAATAATCACATGTTTAACCAAAATTAAAGGACTTTTTAGTTTAAGCATTTAGATGGGACACAGTATATATGTCTATATTTTCACATTCTGCAAGTGGCCTGTGAGTGAGTTACAAGACTTTGTTGACTAGCTAGTACTTAAAAAAACATGTGGTCTTACCAAAGTTGTAAACTACAACCTGTCATTTAAAAGTCTTCAGTTTCACATTATTTATTGTCTACTCTGCAGAGTTTGATACTGGGCGCGATTTAAGCAAGTTGCCCAAATTGATTTAATAAGCAACAACAAAAGCTCCAACCCTTTGTTTGATGCTGTACTCACCAGGATAGCCTTTCTCTCCTGTGTAATATATGTAATCCTTTGCGATCTAGCTGTCCTGGTTCATCTGTAGTAACCTTTTATGAATCACCTGGTAGGCTAACTTGGTGGTGTGCTTACCACACCAAGTGCATCCCCATGTGGCCTCACACTCTCCTCACAGCATCCTCAAGAAGGCCGCCTTTCTTTTGTTTGCATAGAGAACTCCTTATTCACTAAAACTGCTGTTCCAGTTCTGTTTTTCTCGCTTCAGCTCGGTGTTCCTAAAGCCTGTCAATGAGTCAGAAATTTTTCCTGCAATTCTTTGCTACAGCATTATGCTAAAACCATATGTGCAGACTTTCCCATTGTTCTTTGCACAGTTTTTAGATCTATGATAGACCTGTCTGCTCTTTTTCTCCAAAAGTGTCAACAACACAATCCTTTTCCTTTGTTGAAAATATATATCTACACAGTAAAACAACAGCTACACAGTTGTAAGAAATCTGAAAACAACCAAAGGGGTTGGGCACACCTGTGAAGGACTTTCTCTTAACTAAATGATTTGAAGCGGGAAGAACCACGTATCTTTTGAGGTAGGAAGAACCAGCTCTAATCTGGGCCACACTCTCTGCTGGCCATCTATATATAGGATGTAGAAGAAGCTTTTGCTCTTTTCTTGCACTTCTGCTGACAAGTTTGTTCCTTCAGTGGCAATAGAGCCTACCTCTGAGATTCCAGTGTATACTAAGGACCAGCAGAGGCGTCCAGCTTTGTGGACTGAACTACTGGATTCCTGGACTTTTCGTTGGTAGACAGCCATTATTGGGCCAGCTGGAGCACAGCCCATAAGCCATTCAAATAAACCCTGACTAATACAAGGTCTTGATAAAAAAAAATACTGCTTCTATATCACAACTCGATCCCTAACTCAAAATTAACTGCTAGTTGCTTGCCTTCGTGTTTCCAAGTAACATGCTTAACCTTTAGCTTTGTTTTTTTAAGTAAGTACAGTCAAGTTGACCGTCACTGCCTTCCCTCTACAGACATGCTCTGAGGCTGGAACTAAGTAACTCTCTTCTCCCTAGTTCCTGACATAAAAACACATAGAATCATTCTAGATTTGTCTATGAAGTTAACTGTAATGAGTACCATATGTAAGGACACATTGGCCTTTTTGCGAATGCCTTGCAGTAATCTTGTGTCCTCTAGACATGTGTCTAGCGTGTCAGAATTTCCCATTGGGTTTGAATAATATTTGTTATTAGATTTTACTCATCCACCTGTAGATGCACACAAGTTACTTCCATCTTTTTGCAACTATGAATATAATCTTATGAATACAGGTGTGTGGAGTCTCGGCCTTTCTTGGGTAGATACATGCCTGTCTTTACTATGGCTGTGCCATCTTTATATTCCATGTTAGTACACAAAGGTAATTCCTGTACATCACTGCTAACCGTAGCCGCTGTCTCCTTTCTCTGTTAATAGTGGGATAATAAGGGTGATGTGGTTTTTTAAAAATAATGCCACCCTTTGTTTTCCTATAGGAAACTGAGGATGTGACTCACAGTTTTTGATAATTCACATAGTTGTATTATAGCAAACTAATAGAGACTGAGCAAGAAGGAAGTTTTATATATAAAGGACTCATATAAAGTTCATTTAAAAATTGCCCATCAATAGGAACAACCTAGTGGAACTGTGGTCAAAAGATTTGACCAAACATTTCACAAAGGAAAATATAGAAGTACTTAACATCAGAAAAATAAGTAATACAACTACGTGAATGACAGAAGGCAGGGGAATGGACTCTACCATCCTGTGAGTATGAAGCACATTGAACTCCAGTGCCTCACTAATGGCGGTGTGACAGTTTTGCCACTGAAAATGTACATGGTTTCTAACTAAACATGACTGTTACAAGACATAAGGGCATTTTGGGGCATATACTCTAAGAATGTTGGTCAAGATAAGAATGTTTATAGGTAATTCTATTCATGTTCATTCCAAATTAGAAATT